AGATAGGGAGAAGTGGCAAAGGTCTGCTTGGTGCCTTTTTAAGCTTCTGTGTGCAGTTTTCACGTCTGGTTAACGCCCCAATAAATGAGGAATATGATTTGAAACTAACAAAAAAACCAACCAACCAAACAAACAAACAAAAAACTAAAATGGAGTGAAAAAACTAGTTCTTCTTGGGTAAGAAAAATTAAAGCAAAGCAAGAACTGGGGGGGAAAGAGTGAAAGGAGATTTATTGTTCAGCTCCTGAGGTTTCTTTGGTTTAGTATTGGTTTTTACTTTCACCATGGATCTGCAAAAACCCAAAGGTTGAAGCTCAAAAGTGGGTAAAAGGCAACCCAAAGGCAGCTGCTGTCAGTAGCCTTTTTTGTTGTTAATGGCACCTGCAGAACCAGGGGGGAAGGAAAGACTGGTGGCTGAAGAAGCTAAAGATTTCTAAGGGAAAGAAAATGTATTTCTTTCTTTGCAGAGAAACAAGGAAATAAAGCTGCTCTGCCTGCTTTAATGATCATTTGCTAAACATCTAAGCAGCTGAGTTGTTAGTCAGAATGAATGTAAATGAAATTCAGACATAGACAGGGCTATTTGTAGAAATTTGATTTTTATAGACACATTGGCAGTACTTTTTCCCCAGAAGTATTACATTTTGATTTAGCTGAGGAAAAGAAATTATATTATGTGATTTAATTACATGATCGTGACTCACACTTTGTTACAAATACTGAGCGGTGAAAATGGAAGCAAAATGCAAGCTATCTGGTAGGTAAATATGTTCTTTTAAACTGTTGACTGAATTTGAATAATGAATAAATTGGGGGAAATGGCAATCTGCTTGTGGAAGCTCCAGAAAAATAAAAAAGGGCTGAGCTCATGAGGTAAATTATTAATGTTGGTATATTCGCTTTGCTCCAGTTATTTGTAACATAGGAAATGTGATTTGTGTGTATATGCCATTTTAATATTAACTCAGTTGCCAGCTCAGATCTAAAATAATGAGACAGATCCAAGTCTTTCATTTCCAGGGAAGCATTTTTAATACAATTGAAATCAACATGGTAAAACACTCTGCCCAAAGGAAGGCTGAAAACTGAGTTTTGGGAGGTTTTAGACCCTCCATTTTCTTCACCTGGGGTGTGACAGACACACACACACACACACACACACATGGAAGCTGCTCAGCAAGAGGATGACGACTCAGGGCTTCCACTTCTGAGTTCAAATGCATGCTGTGATCTTATCTGCAGCGAGTTTGATCAGCAGCAACTGCAACAAGAGTATAAACAAGAGTAAAAAAACCCATTGGATACATAGACACAGCTGTGTACAGCTGCAGGGCCTGAGAGTGACTGAGTAAGAGCTAACATCCTTGGTGGGATGCTGTTGGGGAAGCCTCCATGTCAGCAGGAATGTTGCACAACTGCCCTTCTTTCCATTTCCAGCCTTTCCTTACTACTCATAAATACACATTTCCATTCCTTTTCTTTTTTTTTTTTTACACTCTCCATAAATAAATTCAATTGCAAGTGCAGGACTAAAATTCTATTGAAGGGAGTTGTAAATCCCAGCTATATTTTTAGATCTGAGTGTTTTGTTAATTTTGGATTTGAGCGTTTCATTAATTTGGTTGCAGTGTTTCTCAGAAACGCTGTGATTTTAGTATCTGCAGATGGTAACTGTGGGACAACTCTGGGCTCTGAAGCCTTTTATATTACACCCCAGCATGTAGACAGGTCCACTGTCACTTTTCAGGCTTTGCTTTGCCAAAATGCCTCAGCCTGAGAGGGACCATGTCTGGGACTGAGAAGATTGTCCGGAGCTGCCCAGATCCAGCTAAATTATGCTGGGCTTTCTCCTCAGGTTTAGGACCCAAAATGAGTCCTCTTTGTGTTTCCATGCAAACAATCGTTGAAATCTGTCTTGGGGATCAAAGGGAAATGGCAGATTGGGGCTCATCTGGCTCTGAAGCTGCTTAAAACAAAGAGGGAACCCCCTTATTTTAAAAGGATGGCGGAATTTCTTTTGAAGGTGATGCCCTGGAAAGCTGGGCAGATCCCTCAGGAGAGCAGATCTCCACTCCAGGCTCCCCATGAGCAGCTGCAGTTCCCTCTGCCCCATCTCTGCTCATTTGTGTCTGGTGCATTTATATCAGAAAGAGAAGACTGACCTGGTGAGCAGGCTCAGCCCCACTGGCTGGTTGAGCTCCCCATGCCCCTGGTGAGCAGCATTCCTGTGAGCAGGAAAGCTCATCATTCTTCCAGCCCTTCTGTGCTCAGCCCACTGAAGGAGCAACTGGAGCCTCAGGGAGGCTGAGCTCACTTGTGGCCTTCTCAGAGACATCTGCAGCGTGGTCTTGCTCCAGGTGTGAATGAGCATAACACACAGGGGAGGCAAATCTGGTGGGAACAAAAGCTTGGACTTATCCCCCATCCACTGAGCTGGTCTTTTGGCTTTTGAGTCATGGGAAACACAGAGCGTTGAATACAACCATGCATCTTGCCCTAGATGATTATTTTAGACCAGCATGGTCTTGTGGTGACTAGTGATGGCACGAGAATGAAATGATTCTCATCTGCTCCAGAATCTGCTCCCCCAGTGACATATACAGCACAAACAATAGCAGGAGTTGGATTTCTTTTCCTTTTTTTCCAACTTGTTCAAAGCTTGTGCCAAGTTCCTTGGAAGGGTAATCTACAAGTTACAACGTGTGAAAATGAGAGTGCTGTCAGGCAAAATTCAGGTCCTATTTTCATACCACATAAGGATAGCAGCTCAGGTGGGGTTTTATCCAGATAAAAATGCCTCTGTATTTAACTCAAAGGGTGCTGGACCAGAAGTGAGATCACTGTGGAGTTTGGTCCAGCATCTTTCTTCTTTGTAAGACTGTTACCTGTCTTCAGATATGCAGCTTGTGTTGTCTTGGGGTGGATCCAACTTTCACAGTGAGCTGATGCTGCTGAGTTGCCCTGCACAGGGGCCAGGAGTAGGTTGGCTTCTTAAAGGCCTTAGAAGTTTCCTCTCTTCTTATTTTCCACTGACTGATTCTGTATTCCCCAGAGGCTGCTTGTTAACGGCACAGACTGTGGCCAAAAATTAAAAACAAAAAAAAAAAAAAAAGAGGAGGGGGTGGGGGGAGGAGAGGAAGGATGAGAAAACAAGGCACACCTGCAGCAGTCCTTGCTGTATATTCCCTCTGTCCCACCGACGGCGTCGTGTGGAAGGAAAATTGTTCTATCAGTGACTGTGTTAGATTCATGACCCCACCACAACCTTGAATTGGCCTTTAGTTGTCGCTGATGGGAACTGAAGAACAGCTCCTGTCGACATGATTGCTGCTCTCCAATGAATCAGAACACGCAGGGCACAGAGCAGCACATTAAACTAGCAACAGAAATATATCACTGTACTTTTATATAGATGTATTGCTTTTGCCCAGGCATATAAATGATTGGGCTATCCACTTATTTTTTTTCCAAGGACTATAAATTAAAAATAAGCTAAGGGTTTGGAAATTATGTTCTCTCTCTTTCCCCCCTCCCCTCGTCTCTCTTTTTCTTTCTTTTTCAAAGCTGGGTAGCTATTTTTGGCCTACAGTAAAACATTTTAAAGGTAATCTTACTGCCTGTGTCTACTTGACCATCCTTTTTTCTAAAAGAAATCTACTATTGCAGTTCTTCCTTAGGTAATTTAACACTTCAGTGTGATCACACTAACCACACATGTGGATCTCTATGCTGCTTCTGCTGCTAATGAACACTTACAAGGCTTTATTTTTTTCATTTAGTAAGACAAGCCACTGAAATGGTAAAATCTGTGTATATCAGGTGTTGGATTTTTTTCCCCTAACACATATTTTATAAAGTAAAATTATTTCAACATACCTTAACCAGAGGTCACTTTGACTTGAAAGTTAGTTTGAAGCACTGCTGCATAATTTAATGTGCTGCCTCAAAAATGGAAATGCTACACCATTAAATTGCAAATAATTTTTGCAACTTTTTGCTCGCTGATTGAATCATCTGTTCAAAGCCTCCCTTTAACTCAGAGATGATATCACCAGATCTTCAGAGATTGGAACACGTTTTGTCCACTGCACATTTCCAGCTCTTTCCAAACAATTTATCACTTACCAGCTTTGCAGCCGGACGTAGAAGCTATAAGTGAGCTGCTCAACTTTCATTCCTCTCCCATCTTGCGGGTTTTTGGGGGTGAAATGCAGAACAGGAGTCCAGGAACCCATCTTTTGTGGTCTGAGGCTGAGGCAGGCAGGTGTCACAGTGTTTGTTCCAGCCCTGGAAACCCTCGTCCATGGGAGCAGCCCCTGGTCGTGGTAAGTGGAACAACTGACTGCCATGAGCAAATTTTCCCTACAAGAATCTGTGGGACTGAGCCTGCCAGATCTTTTTCTGCTGGTTTTTTGAATGTGTTTTAGTTGGACCTTTTAAACTTCATGTTTCTTGGACTACCTGCTAAAGGACTTTTGGTGGTAACCACATGTCTGTGTGTCAGATGAAATGATTTTGCCAGCCACCAGCATATGACCTGATAATAATGACCTAAATAAATGACCTGGTCACAGCTATCTCTCCTCAGCAGTCATAAACACCACAATAGTGTTTCCTGTGTATCTTTTCACCAAGTTTTGGGTGATTGAATTTTTACTGCACACCACTTCCTAGCAAAACTAGTGAGCTATAAATGAAAACCTGGCTGCATTATTATCTCTTTAAAAGACCAGTAATTTCCAGGTCTGATGATAGCGTGGTTCCAAGGCCCACAGTTAACCCAGGGATGACTGGCTGATAGGTGAAGGGGTGCAGCTCCTCTTTGCTGTGTAATCTCAGGGAAGGGAACCACAGCTGTAGGAGAAAAGATTTGTGGCGATCACCTACCAGTGAGACCAACACGTTGCTCATATTTGAAGATATGGAGATCAACGCTTTCCTTGCCCAGATCTTTGCCTGGAGAGACCAAATGTCAGGCTTGGATTCTGCTCTCACACTGCCACCAGCCAGCTGGATCCGTCTCCCTGTGGATTCAGTCCCTTTCAGAGCCCACCTGAAGGTCCATCCATGTTGGCATTCTTAGGGTAATGGATGCTGATAACCTGTTTTCCAGATGTAGAAAAAATAATATCACTCTATTTAAAGAAAAAATTGACTTGCTTTGTGGCTAAAGGGCTGTCCCAAAGCATTTGGTTCTCTCTCCAGTACACGAGCAATTTGCCACATGGCCTTGGGAAAGCCAAGCGGCTGTTCCTTGGGCTGTTCCTTCTTTGCTGAGCTGAGGAATCAGGAAATTCAGGGCTCTTTTTTTTTACCTTTTTACAGAGTTCCTGTAAGTCTTGACTTTCTAATAGCTTTAATGCATGCTCACTGTTTACCCCCCAGCTTCTGAGCATGACTGGTGCTCAGTTCTAGACCTAATGAAGTTACATGTCTGAGGGTTTTCTCCTGAGCTGCTTTAGGCTGTGAGAGTGAGTCTATTTTCACTGCCAGCTGAGGTGTTTCCCTCTAGAGGAAGGGGCACTAAGACTGAGGCTGTGAGGGCAGTGAGATTCTGCCAGCTCTGGGGGCAGCATGCCCACATGTTGTTTTCTATAAAAGACTCTGTAATTCTCTAATACAGACTTAAAGAGTAGAAAAAAAGCTCTTGCCAGCCAGGGAAAAGAAAGTAAGAAACTCTCAGAAACTGTCAAAGTGAGACAGCAGTAGCCAGTGAGCAGCACAGCTCCCCAGCAAGGTGTTCCATGCCCACAGCTATTTACATCCAACAGGAACTCAGTCTTGCTCCTGATCTTAAGCACATTAAAGTTTAATTTATCAATGATCTTGTAACCACCAGTCCCCAAACTCAAGTAAACTTAAAATACCCCACCCAATAAGAATCATTGAAGGCACTTGAAGGACACATAGAAAGTCATTACTGAAAGGTGCTAACTTTTCTGATGATAATAAATAAGTTTTCTGACTCCTTGAACGCTTTCTCAGCCCAGTCAGGAGATTGTTTTATAGCACAGGTCTGGCATCCTGCTCGCTTTTTGATGTTATGAATGTCCCGGATTTCATTTAGGGTTTAGGTCATCACCAAATGTTGAGATTGTGCAGGGGAGAAAAAAAAACTTGCAATGTCCTCAGCTGGTCTACTCCACTGTTCCTCCAGCAGCTCACGTGAAGGGGAAGGTTGACAAATTTCTGATATCAAACCCAGCTGTCAGAACAACACGGGGTAATAGCTGTCCTTGTCAAACGCGCCAATTAATCCACCGGCGTGTCAATGTAGGTGTAATTGATAGACTCCACAATCTGGCTGAGTAATGAAAGCCTAAAGCATTACTAAGACCATTTCACCTCCTAAAAGATCCCGTGATCTAACCTGAGCTGTCAGCAGCGTGGTGAGGGGCACTTAAAAAAAAAAAAAAAAGAAGAAAGAGAAAAACAAAACAGCAGTTTGCTGCGATGGAAAGCAGAGGTTTCATATGAAGCTTCATTTTAAGGGGAGAAAAGGATGTGAAAAGAAGGACTATGAAACAATGGCATAGTACTGTGGAGTGACAGTTTTATTCAAATACTCCTTAAAGTCAAACAGAAAATATAATTAGAGGAATTGTTTCTCTGTGAGAATCGGTGTGTTCTGGAGTCTTCCTGCTAATGAGGGAGTTGCTTTTAGAAGAAAATGCGGCCATTGTCTTTAAAAGCTGCGGCTGCAGAAAGGCAGTGTCAGCTCAGCAGGCTCATTAGCATAATCCTTTGTCTGACTTAGAAATATTTGTTAAGAACTTCTGAAACAACAACAAAAAAAATTACTATTGGAGTTTTTCTGACTACTGTGCTAACTCATCCACTTCCAGTGTAGATTTTGTTTTAATAAATGGTTTTGAGGTCTTTGGGTTTTGGAGGATGGTTTTTGTATTAGTCATTTATGTTATTTAAAAAACAACGACAACAACAACAAAAAGGCTTTCTTCCTTATCACCACAGCACGGGGATAAGGTTGTTGGACCAACAACCAGACGTGCAAGACAGTGGTATGTGCAAACAAAAACAGCTCTGCTACTGGATGAGTAGCCATCGTGGACTCAACAGCATCATAATAAAGCACAGAATAAACTCTTGGGGAACAAATCCAAAAGCTACACACACTAGTGGGAGAATAGCATGAAAAAGGAGGACTGACATTCACCAAAAACCTGAGTGGAGCAGGTGCTGCCCTGTCGTGTGTCTGAAGCCCTGTCATGTGTCTGTTCCTGCCCATGGGGATAGGGAGGAAGGGTGGCAGCATCCCATCTCACAGCCTGTGCAGGAATGCACGATATACCTGAGCTCCCCAGGGAAGAGGCACTCCCATATTGACCCATGAAATGTGTCTCGCCCTCTTTCAGCACGCTGCACTGGCTCAGCTGCACTATCACCCCTGGGGATACTGCAGAGCTATCAAGGCTCACTGGCATCATTGAAATGCACTTTTGAGAAATACCTGTTTGCTAAGAAGGGGCAGGGGGCAAGGTCAGCTCTAGGGTAGCACAAAATAAAAGCATGACCAGGAGCTCCAGCGAGGGCACTAAGCCACGTGGGATTGTAATGGATGCTCAGAAAGAGTCTGAAATAACAAAATGGAACTTCTAAGATAATTTAGGACAGCTTTTTTATGGGGAGGGACTGCTGTATTAGTTCTTTATGCACTTCAGGATATGATTGAGAGACCTTACAACCACTGGCAATGATGAGAAAAGCAGATGAATAAGGACCAGCAATGCTGGGTAGCTCTGCTTCCCTGGATTTATGTACTTACGGATGAATTTAATACTTGGTGATCAAAAGAGTTCAAATAGTGGTTGTATTAATGATTTCAGCATAACCTCTAAATCCCAGGATGGCAGTAGAAATCTTCAGCTTGGTCTTAATCTTCTGATGTTTTTTATTAAGAGCAAAATTAAGTGCTGTTGCCTCACGATAAAGCCGCTCACGGAAGTGTGAACTGCGCTATTGTCACTGCCAGTGCTCTCAGCTCCAGTCCTGCTCAGACCACTTAGATTTTTCCCAAAAAATTAATTACCGAGGAAAAAATATCCTCATCTGAATTCTTTTGGGGTTTTTTGCTGATATTTGGTTAATTCTTGCCTGATCTTGTCTATAGCTCTGGCTGTGCAGAGTGCTACACATTATTGCCTGTGCTTGTTGTAGTGTGTTACTGTTGCAGGTGTGCCCCAACAAGAGAAGAGCCTAAGTTCTCTGTCCATGCCTTCAATTTGACTCTTTTGGCCCTAAATTACCACTCTTTCTTCCTGTTTTCCCCATAAATATTTGGTGCCCATTAAAGATACCTGCAGGGCTGCTAGCTCATCTTGCAGCAATATTATGCATCTTGCAGCAAAGACCTACCAGTCTGGAGTTTAGCACACCTGTGATATATGTTTTGTGGCTAAGGAAATATTAATATGCCTCAAAGAAATATGAGAATCAACTCACCATTACTCTTCTTCCCTTCCTCCCACACATTCCCTCAAGTATATTGATCTTTGATGTGCTTGCTTTCTTGAGCCAATATGAAGACAAAGTGTCTGAATCAGGGATGGAAATAAGTGATATTTGAAGCTGTTCTCAAACCTCAGGACAGTTTATTCTGGCTTTGCTGTGTCAATTGCAAAGACTACTTGGTTTTTTAGTCAGGGGTAGTGTTATCTGCTAATTAAAGGTAATGACATCCCCAAAGATGAAAACTGTCAGCCCTAGTCTTCATTTTGAAGCTATAAGGTATGGCAAGATCTGATGCCAAGGGCCTTGAATGAAGGCAGGGATTTTGGGGTTAACAAGCTATTTTACTCTCCCCCCCCTCACCCCAGTGCAGGAGAGCTATTAAGGACACTCCTATTGCAGATGGATGGTAGTAGCTTTTGTAGCTCATAGTTCCTTCACCTTCCTTACATCAGGGCTCTCAGAACTCACGATATCACAGATGCAGCCTAACAAGTGCAGAGGACAGGGTCTCATCACTCCATCTGTGGGCTGTGCTCATCCTAACACAGCCCCAGTGCTTCTGGCCACCTCAGCTGCTATGGCAGGCATGCTGCTGGCTCGGGTTCAACTCCCTGCCTCCTACCGCTTTTTCCCAGCACAGCTGCTTCCCAGTGCTCTGTCTCAGGGTTAGTACCTCCAAAGTGCAGAACTTGTGTTTGTCCTTGCTGGATTTTGTCAGGTTCCTGTTGGTCTGTCCCTCCAGTCTGCTCCTGTCCCTTTGAAACGCTCCAAGACCTTCGAATCAAAAGTGAAATGCTGACGTCGTTTTGATGTTCCTGCACTCCCTGCGAAGAAGGCAGGATGTTATGCTGGTAGATCCTATTTATTAAAATGCACCTAGGATGCACCCAGAGGAAAAACAAGTGGGAGGAGGACATGGCAACAGAGTATCTCTCCAAGTTTCCATGCTCCCCCATTCCCCTGACCTGAGGTTAGTTGAGTCCCTGTTGGGTACAAGATATGTGGCAATAATATCTCAGTGTCGTGGCCTTCAGTGAATGCAAGGTTTAAGATGTGAGGTAAAGACATACATAAATTCTGTGGGTGATGAATGGTTGGCAGTTTCATTTGAGTGCTTTCTGCTACAGATGTTTAGCGTTTTTTTCCAAGGTGTCAAGGTTTAACCCCAGACGGCAACTGAGCTCCACACAACCACCACCTCACTCCCTGCTGGATGGGGGAGAGAACCAGCAGGGTAAAAGGGAGCAAAATCGTGGGTTGAGACAAAGACAGTTTAATGGGTAAAGCAAAAGCTCCATGAACTAGCAAAGGAAAGCAAGGAATTCCTTCCCCACTTCCCACGGACAGGCAGGGGTTCAGCCATCCCCAGAAAAGCAGGACTCCATCTCCCATGGATGGAGTGACTTGGGAAGACAAATGCTATCACTGAACATCCCCCCTTCCCTCCTTCTTCCCCCAGCTTTATATGCTGAGCATGACACCATATGGCCTGGAATATCCCTTAGGCCAGTTGGGGTCAGCTGTCCTGGCTCTGTCCCTTCCCAATTCCTTGTGCACCCTACCTCAGCCAAAACCAGCACTCAAGGGCATATGCCAGAGAACAGAATGAGGAGACAGTTTCATTTGAACATTTGCATCCCTAAGACACAGCCACTGTGGCCAGCAAAGCCATTTGCACATGGAGCACCCAAGTCAGGAGAAATCAGAGTGGGAACACAACTGGGTTACGGGCTTGGCAGAATCCTGACAATAACGTGATGTGCTTTGCTGGGCAAGGTGGAAGATGCGACGTTCCCAGCTGGCAACTGCTGGTAACTTAACACTCCCAGATGGAGGCTGGGGGGGTGATAGGATATTCCCAGCTGGTGGCCACGGCTGCCTCAGCGCGCTCCCATCCGTGCATGTGCCTCCTCCGCACAATGGGAAGGGGTGGGCGCAGCCTAATAAAGCAGCTGGTCTATTAGAAGATAAGCTTTGTGGAGAATAGCACAAACATGCAGAATCCCCCTTAATCTTAAACTTTATTACCCCAGATAATAGGCTTTGGTGGCGGCGACAATCAGCTGAAACGCAGAATTGCCTTGGCTCCTGCAGCACCTGCCACGTCAGTCAAGTCACAAGCCACCTCCTGCTGCACAAAAAGGTGGCTGTGTGGGGCTAGCAAGCTAAAAGTTTTGTTGGTTTATATTTTGAAAAGGCCAGGGAAAGGCTGGGCACCCTCCCTTTGCAGGCTTAAGCTTGCACTCTGAACCTGCCAGGGAGGAAAGGCTACCAGGATCTGAAAGGCTGCTTTCTTTACCTCCGAGGAGTTGGAGCAAGGCTTCCTTTGTCCACTGAAGCCCACTTGAAGGAGAAGGCAATGTTATTCCTACTCTGAATTAGGTCAAGTTTCCCAATATTCAACCAGCAATTAGCAGGGAAAGGCTGTGAAACCTGTTTGTAAAACCTTTATCTGTGTCATTTTCAGTATTTCTGACATAAAATTCATTTAGTTATCTGAGGCACAACTCGGAAGAAGCATCTCATATTCTCCTTTTGGTGAAACAATCAGATCTATGAAGCTCAATGCACATGTGCAATACCCACGTCTGCAAGTGGGGAGGAACAGAAAGCTTTTTGCTTTATAAATGGCCTTGCCCTTATTAATTTTTAGGGGCTTTTGTCAAGTTAATTTTTTTCCACAGTCCTGTGATCGAAATATGAGGAAAAAAAAAAAACTGCTTACCACAAGCTGTTCCTGTTCTTTTGTTTAGAAATATTTCAATATGAATGTTGGTTAACAGAATAACTACGAAGTGACAGAGGGTAATTTTTAAATCATGAGCGATAAGAGATGCTGTAACAAAAATTTGTGCCAGTTATTTCAACTTTTCTGTGCCCTCCAACAATAGCTGCTACAAGCTCAGAGTGAAAGGGGCTCATTTAGGGACGAGGTGTTTATACACGTGCTGGTTTGGGCTGGAATAGAGTTAATTTTCTCCACAGTAGCTGCTATGGGCTGTGGTTTGGATTTGTGCTGGAAACAGTGTTGATAATGCAGGCGTGTTCTCCCTGCTGCTCACACAGAGTAGGGGTCTTTTCTGCCTCTCACTCCACCCCACCAGCGATTAGATTGGAGCTGGGAGGGGACACAGCCAGGACAGCTGACCCCAACTGACCCCAGGGATATTCCAGACCACATGACATCAACATAGAAAGCTGGGGGAAGAAGGAGGGAAGGGGGGATGTTCAGTGCCTGCATCTGTCTGCCCAAGTCACTGTTGCATTTGTACGAGCCCTGCTTTTCTGGGGATGGCTGAGCCTGCCCACGGGAAGTGGGGAATGAATTCCTTGTTTAGCTTTGCCTGCATGTATGGATCTTGCTTTACTTGTTAAACTGTCTTTATCTCAACCCAGCACTTTTATCACTTTTGTCCTTCCAATTTTCTCTCCCATCCCAACACAGAGGGAGTGAGTGGGCAGCCCTGTGGAGCTCAGTTGCTGCCTGGGGTTAAACTATGACAGTGCAGGTCTAGGCAGTATAGTCAACCAAGTCTAAATGTTATGACCATTAAAGCTCAGTCTAGTGAGTTAGATTTCTAGTCTTAGTTTTGCCCACAGATCTTTCCCTTCTCATGTCCAGTATTTCACCCTCTCCTCCGAAGAAAGTGTGAGTGGAGATTTAAAAAATCGGTAGATTGAAACCAACAGTGTATACATACAACTTGCAAGACCATAAACAGACAGGCAAGAAAAGGTGCACTGAACCCTGCATGGCTCTCTGCCTGTGTCTGCAGACAGCAGTCAGACCTGAGGCAGCACTGACCGCCCTAGCACCCTGCCAGCTGCACCGAGACTGCGCTGCAAAAGCCTCGTGGTGGCAGAGCAGATGCCACCATCAAACTGCCTGGGTAAGGGCTGGGAAACAATGAAACCTAAAAAAAAAAAAAAAGGAGCTTAACACCATCTCAGCGAAGCTTTAGAAGAAGTGCTGCTTCAAGCCTGATGTACCTCAGCTCAGCTGCCTCTGAAACTCATCGTCTGGTTGAGGCAATTCCAGGGCTCCTGACCAGTTCACAAGCTCTGTGGCCCTTGTGTCTCAGCAAGAACGAGACAACCTCCCTCCTCAGACGGTTCCACTTCCTCTGGCAGACAAGACCAAGACACCTCAGCTTCCTTTGCAATGCCATATTGATTTTTTGCAGTCTCTCCTTCCCTAAGGAATTGACCGCACTAGATCAAATTAAGAACAATCTGAGCATTTAATGGGGCTCCTTCAATACGATGAAGTTTGATTGCTCGAAGTTGAAGTTCATGATAATTATTTATGCTGACAGCACCCTCACAGGCAATAAAACCTGACCCTTTCCTGAAGGCCTCTGTCTTTCCATCAGGGAATTGTTTTAATCCTGCTGTGCTTACTTAGCACACTTACTACATATTATTAAATATGAGAATAATGATCAGACAACAAAATGTATTATATTTCCACCAAAAGTGGTATCAGAATCTTGGTTCTGTTGCTGTTCTCAGTTACTAAATAAAACTCCTGTGCCTGACCAGCAACAGCAGCACCAGAGCTCACCTGCAGTTTGGAGACTGCCAACAAAACCTTTGGCTCTACTGGATGCAGGATCAGGGCTCTCCCTGCCCACCTGCAGTTACACAGTACCTATAAAATCTGTTCATGATGAAAACTGCACCATTTCTGTATTGTCTAAGAGGTCTGTCCTGAGGGTTGTCTATAATCGCCACTCTGAGCTAATTAACAGATTTATTTGTAAGCAGGTATTTTCATGAATGACAGAGGAGTTGAAAACAAATCTTGCTTCCAACTTCTCGAGTTCTGTTATTAAAACCCCTCCTGGCTGAGTATAATGAAAACAGTCCTTATAGTCCCTGTGTCTGTTTGTGTGTGTGTGTAGGGACCCCACAAAACCAGCTGTCTTTAACACCTGAGCATGGTTCTCAATGCAAAAGCATCAACAAGTGTTCATTTGTGGTGTTCTATACACACACACAAATAAAAGTGAAAACATGATGACATTGTATGTATACACACACATAAAAAATACACACACATGTAAAGTAGCCCTCCACCTGCAGCTGCTATAAATGAAGCAGTACAACTCCTCAGCCCTCAAAAAAGTGAAAAGGGTATCAGGTAAGGACAGAAGGCGGTTTTCTGATTAATTTTTTTTTTTTAAACTTTCCTCCCCACCCCCCCAAAACAACAGCTACATCCATCCTACTTGCTCCTACATGTCCTACTGTGCTCCTCTGGAGCATAACTGTCTCTATATACCACATTTTGGGACAGCCCCACATGTACCCTGCTTTTTTATGGCAAGGAGAAAACCAATGACCGGGGCTTTCTCACAAGGAATGTAGTACTTACCTGGGTCGAGTCCTCCTTCTGTGGTGGAGAGAATGGCTACAGGGCTCTGATGCAGACTCATAAAATCCTCATTGTCGTTCCTTTGAGCAGCCAGCCCAGGATCCCTGCTGTTCCTGTCACACTCCTTCTCCCCAGCGCAGGTTTCTTTTCACTATGCAAGCAGAGCTTTCAGATGCATGAACAGCTGCCTTGCATTACACGGTAATTCCCCAGCCAAGGGACTGAGCGGAAAAACCAGTCTCGTAGCTCATCTAAATGTAAAAATGACGTTCTTTAAGAAAAAGTTAGGAAATGTGAAAATGGAAATGAAGCTGCACGGAGGCAGCAGAGCTTCCCTGTGGCAGCGCTGGCTTCCCCTCATGCTGGAGCAGCCCAACTCCAAACCCACCACCTGGGCTGGGCAGAAGAAGGAGCAGTGAGGAGCTGGCAGCTGATCAAGGGGGAGAAAGGCACATTTGAGGGGTTCCCTTAGACGGCTCTGTTGATTTCTTGCTTTGGCTTTCATTTGCTCTTTGTCACATCTCGGCTCATCCATTTTAGACCGCGTGTCAGAACAGATCTCGTCTCAGTGGGTTGCTCTGAAACCTAATGATGGCTTGGCTTTTTCAATGCCCCTGAGGGGGCCAGGCAAAAGGAGGCTGGAGCTGCACCCCCTCCCAAACCACCTGCATTTGGGGAGGGAGCTGGCTACTTGCAGCAGGGGAGGGGTTTTTCGACAGGATGGCTTGATGTAATCAAAGAATAGGGCTTAAACCTGCTTTTCATTTAAAAAAAAAGAAGTAAGGCAGGAGGCAAGAAGGGATCTGCTCTGTTTCTTTAAGTGAGAGAGGCTGTGTTGGCCACTCTGCTAAGCCATCCACCACCCTGCTCTAAGTTCTTAAGTGATACTGAACTCCAGGTGACCCTCGCAGACAGTAATTGCTTTAGCATAGGTTTGACAACAGCAGCACAAGCTGTTATTTTAAGCACAAGCTTAAAATAATTTTCAACCCTGGAGACCCGCTCACGTGAAGAATCCAGTACATCACCCGTGTTTTCCTTGATGAGTGTCGCAGTTCTTGGCAGCTGGGAAAAACGACAGTTTTCAAGGGATTTCCAGTGCCTCCTCCTCCAGTTTCCAACCTGGCAGGGAGTCAGCCAGGAAAGATAGCAGGTGGCCTTTAAAGGAATTTTTTATGGGACAGCTCCAGGCCAGTATCCCTGCTCATTTACTCCAATAGCTACCTCTTCTTTAAAGGTGGGATTTGAAGAAACCCCAAATTTAATTGCAGTTCCTTGCTTTGTGGCTGCAGCACGGTTCATTCAAAATGGGTTCATCATACCTGGCAATACAGAGCCCCCCAAAACCTTGCCCATCAAAAACGCATTTAATCACCCTTGCACTGGGAGAATGAAACAACTTCCTACTCCTGAGTGGGAAAAGGAGAAATTCCAGCTGCAAGTGCTGTAGGAATTGTTTGTTGACGAGGAGGTGCCCACAGGACACGCACAGAGCAGAGACAGGTCTGCAATTCCAGCGCAGTTTTAGAGCATTTCCCATTTTAACAAACCACCTGCAAATTAGCCCTGATCCTGCCAAGGTTTTAAGGGGGGCATGTACCTTGCTGCTACACCGAATCCTGCGTGCAAATTTTCACTAAATTTGATGGAAAGTAACTCTTCTTTCAGTAGGGAAGAAGAAAGTGTTTTACTTGAAGAGGATGAAGTTTCCTTTTTCTGGCCCACACAGCGGTGGCATGCACAGGATGGATTTTGATTCTGTGAGTAAAGAAGAAGAGAACCTAATTTTTTTTTGCCTGGGCTCTTTTTAAAGACATTTTTTTCTCAGCTCTCCAGGCTGACTTCCTGCAGGCAGCTGTCTCACAATATGAACTATTGAAAGTTAGAATGTACTTGTCCACCTGGCATAGCCTCCTCTTGTTCATGTTTTAGTGGATGGTGCATTAGGAAAAGGCTGTTAGGACACTGGAGAAGAATAATAGACATGTGCATAGAATTCTACATGGCACTCAGTGAATAATCCAGGCTCCTGTGTTTTATCCTCTCAGGAAGACTTCAAGTATTTCAAGAAAAGAATTCGTATCAAGTTTCAATCCTCTATAGCAAACATAGAGAAAATAAGTGGTTCAAACTTTAAATACCCAGTGGGTTCTGGGCTGTGTGTGCAAGGCAAGAGGAGACACAGTTTCTCTGCATACTGTTGTCTGGAAATTGGCTTCTTTTCCTTCTCCTGACCCCTCTCCGATAAAAGACAGAGTTAGATCCCAATTGTAAACTGAAATATTCACCTGACAGCAAACATTCAGATATTCCAGGCAGCTCTAAAGCAGCACTTTCTCCTCTGACAAATCAGAGATCGGAATTCTGAGAAACACATAGAGGAAGTCTACATCCTTTGCTTGTTTTCTGATTAAATCCATTTCTGCTCTATCATCATGGCTGAGGTCAGCTTGGTCCAATAACTTTTGATGAGACAAAGTGGTGGACTTGCTGTTGGCCTTTTTTTAAATGCCTACATTTTAGAAAAAAATTGCTATATCAGCTGGCTAAATAAACAAAACTCATGAAATTGCTTATTTTAGTCATCATTTGAACAAGCAGTAATTATGCCTGTAATAGTAAAGTGAGATTTTAATGCTGATTAATGAAACTGCTAAATTGTCAAGACTGCTAGTCACAGCTATCAGTCTCTGGAGGCTGTACCCTAAAATAGTTGCCAACATATGTGTAATATGGCTTTTTCTGTAGGACAAGATGTGAAGCATATGGTGACCTGTCACAGTAGGGATGAGCTGTAAGTCCTGGCTGAGTTATACTGGACAAACTATCCAAATGGAGAGATAACATCCAATGATTATTATAGCATCATAGCAGCTTTCTAGAGGGTAAGGGATGATGGAGGACTTGGGAAACTGCCTAGCTCCGTTAACCATTCCTGCTTGATGGAGTAATACTGATATTCCTTTATGCTTATTTATATCCTAGAAGAATGCCATGCTGCTGCACATGCAAACCTACTGTAAGACATCTTGCTACTGCTTACCACTTGTTCTCTCTCCTGCCTGTGCCAGGTACACCTTCCCACTGCTGGAGGGAAATCCCATGGTTTGGTGAGTGCTGGAAAGAGGAACCTCCCCCTCGGGAGGGCTGTTGTGAGAGCACTTGTGTCCCTGGGAAGAGGAAGGAGAGTAAAACTCTTCTCTGAATAACCAAATTCCCCCTTACCCATTAACTTGATCGTTATCCAATACTGTACTCAGTGTTTTCAGCACACTGGCAGGTACAACCCAGAGCAAAATATAATGGACTGCTTTTCAGTTTTGCTACTGCCACTTCGTATTACTCCTTGTATGATTCTGTAGGTTTATGAACAGTTTAACCTATTTACTCATGTGTAAATGGACAGTGGTTGGAGATTAGAGAGGCTTCATTTGCTGTGAAGAGCTACTGTCTTGTCTCAAAGGAAAAAGAACCAGTTGACCTGGATGGCAGGCCAGGTACTTCTTACTGAAGATGTAAATCAAATTATCATCACAGTGTCAGCCTCTTTGTACAGCAACAAATACATAACTGCATAGACACAAACTGATTTTTGGAGGCAGGAAAGTTTACACAGCTATTTTGGTAACTAAATGTACCAATCAATATGCAGGATGATTCAGATGATTCACAGGCACATGCACTGTGCTTCATATTAATTTCTAAAATCGGTGCTATAATTGCTGATGGTCAAACTTACTTCAGGCAAGATGTTCTTGTTTGAATGCATGTTTGGGAATAAACTTTGTGTTACCTCCTAAACCATTCCAGTATTTCCTCCATTGTCCTATTCTTGGGCTTTAGGATTGTTCTGTCAAATGGAAGTGCTCTTCTTATATCTTGTCAGGTCTTGCTGTTCTGTCAGTGGTTTCACAGCACCCAGCACTGCATTCCTGACCCACATGAGAAGTTATCACCAACTTCACCAAATCAGATCCCCAGAAATGCTGAATTTACATGCTGCAACTCTGTAATCATGCAAGGCTGATTTACTGCAGCAGAAGTCCTTTTCACATTGTCTGGCAACAGAAACCGCGGTATTTCCACTGCGAGGGCCAAGCTTTCTGTGACAAACAATGCTCCCACAGTTTAATTGGCATTTATACAAGTATTCAGGTCTGTAAATGATACCAGTGGAAGCCAGAGCTACAGCTGGGGTTGTCTGCATACGGCTACTGCACTCTGGATAATTTGTTCCTTGGAAAAGTCTGTTTTCACAGTAACGTGGTTACAAAGCAGCCTCTCAAGTGCCACTGTGTCAGGGAAGCACATCACAGACAGAAGGTAATGACTGCTGACACCAGACCAGCTTTCCCCTTGTTCCATATAAAAGCCAGCAAACTCTAAATCATCAGTGCAGCCAACGCCATGTGCCTGCCCCCATTGTTCGAGCAGGGCTTTAAGCCGGGAACAGAATCCATCAAAACGCGGTTTACGAGGGAAAAATTTGCTGTACGACACGTACGAGTCCGACTGGCTGGTCTGAACAAAGGTAAACTGGGATTAAGGTTTCAACAAAGAGCACTTCCTACCTAGGGAATAGTGCCTTGGTAACTACCTCACACACACACAGAAGAAACCCCTCCGACACCCCACCTCCCTGGATCAAACAAAAAAAGAAATCTGAGGTGGGATGGTCTTAGGATTGTTCCTGTCCTGGCACTCTGGCACACAGCCTTGCAAACTCTGTGTAGAGAAGAAGGAAGATTACAGTAAACAAGTCATAAAATACTGTTTGTCTCACATTTGCCATAACTACAGCCCACATACTTTAGCCTGGAAATCCAGTTTGTCTCTTGAATGTCCTTTCTGGTATCTACTGGTTATCACTGGTTCAAATGACAGCTTCAATGTGAAATCTTCTGTGGGCTTTTAAGTGACTTTGCTTCTCCAAGTAAGGATTAGGAAGTTGGCTCATTTTCACTGTATCATCTTTCCAAACATAAAGCTGTAGGGAACTGAACAGCAGCAAACAGTCAGATCAGAAAATAAGGATTCCATCCTCAGTTTGGCCACAGGCCACTGGTGTAACTGTAGCTGATCAGCTTAATTTTTGTCCCACAGCTGTTCCAACAGTAAAAAATAGCACAGTTACTGGCTTTTTGCTTCCCCTGATTCTTGCTTAACTTGGGCTCCACAGTAGAGGGACCCTCTGACCACGCTGGACATGGAACACC